ATAAAATAAACACTTATACGTAAAATAAAAATAATCAGCCAGGCACAGTGGTACACCTTTAATTCCAGCAATCGGGAGGCAGAGGCAGGTGGATCTCTGTGAGTTCAAGGCCAGCCTGGTCTACATAGTGAGTTCCAGGCCAGCTGGGGTTAAAGGGAGACCCTGTCTCAAAAAAATAAAAATAAATCAAAAAAAATTAAAGATCTATACCCTCAGTTGATGTAAATGAAGGGCATGGGTAAGTCCCAGAGCCCCTACATCTGCCCTCCCAAGCTCCCAGTGAGTGGTACCATTTCCCATCTTACACATAGGGAAACTCTCAGGAGGAGAAAGGTGCTTTCCAAAGGTGGCCTCTCCTGAGTGTCTGAGTACAGGTGGGATGGTAACCCTTACTGGCTGAGGAGGACACTGAGGCCAGAGAAGTGGGCAGAGGCCTAGAGGCATGGCCTTACCTCTACTCTAGCCCACTCCTCCTGTGCCAGCCTGAGGCTGCCATGGCCACACACATACCCTCTCTTTGGTTCACAGGTGGGCATTCTCTCTGGCCTCCACTTAACATTCTGGGGTCCCGGACCCTGCCTCTCTCCTCCCCAGATCAAGGCTGAAGACCCCAGTGGTGACTCAGCCCCAGCAGCACCCCCGCCCCCCCAGCCGGCTCAGCCTCATCTGCCCCAGGCCCAACTCATGTTGACGGGCAGCCAGCTAGCTGGGGTAAGTACTGGGAAAAGGATGGGGCTGGGGGCACCTCTCATCAGTTGCAGACCTTGCAGGTGATAACTCTCACCAAGGCCACAAACAGTCTCTCACACTTGCCTCTTGCCTGCCTCTGTCCTCTGGATAGCTGTGTCCCCTCACTGGCTTGGCTCAAATGCTAACACCTATCTGCCTTCTCTGCTCCTTCTCTATGCTCCCTCTGGCCCTGGGTCTTCCCTCCTGCCTGCAGCTCACAGCGCTGATGCCTGCTCAGCAGCAGCTCCTTCTGCAGCAAGCCCAGGCCCAGCTGCTGGCCGCCGCCGTGCAGCAGTCCAGTGCCGCCGCCAACGCCGCCGCTGCCGCAGCCGCTGCCTCCTCCACCTCCTCCTCTTCTTCCTCCTCCGCCTCCTCCTCCACCTCGCAGCCCCCAGCCTCCTCTGGGGGAAGCGACCTGCCACCGCCACAGCCTGCCAGCCAGCCCCCAGGGACCCCACAGCTCACCTTGTCCCAACCCATCCAGCTCACAGCACAGGTAAGGGTGGCCACAGGGTATCCCATTCTCTGTAGTAAGGGATGTGCAAAAATGGAGTGTGCAGAAGGAGGCCTGACCTGTTCACATGAACCCTTCTGACACCAGCCATGAGTCAGGCAGTCCCTGAAACCACAGGAAGCCTTGAGGAGAGAGTGCCAGCCCATCCTACAGATGGGTAAAGCAAGACTCACAAGGATTATCCCATAAACTAGTCCTCTTCACGGTTGGTCGGGTTCTGTATATCTTCTGAAAGCTCAAAATAGCATAATCAACTTACAAATGAGGAACAAATGAGGAAACCAGAGATCACCAGCACCACCACTCCCATGAATGGTACAATGTGGGCACAAAACAAAAGACTGAGAATCACAATTAGTGCCCCAGGGCTGAGGAAGTGGCTCAGTTGATAGAGTGCTTACCTAGCATGTATGAAGCCCTAGGTTTGAGCTGTAGCACTTGCATAAACCTAGTGTGGTGGTGCATACTTTGTAATCCCAAAGTGTGGTGGAGATAGGAGGATCAGAAGTTTAAGGTCATCCATGGCTATATAGCAAGTTCAAGGCCAGCCTGGGCTACATAAAACCGTGTCTCAAAAAACAAAATACAAAACATACAAAAAACAAAACAAAACAAAAAAAACCCCTAGAATTAGTGCCCCACATCCTGATTCATCCAACAAGATGGTCTTTCAAGAAAAGAGATCCAGGCTGGGTATGGTGGCGCACCCCTTTAATCCCAGCACTCAGGAGGCAGAAGCAGGTGGATCTCTGTGAGATCAAGGCCAGCTGGGTCTACATAGTGATTTCCAGGCCAGCTGGGACTACAGGGAGACCCCGGCTCAAAAAACAAACAAAATAGAAATGGAGCTCAGTGTGTTGGCATGTCTGCAACTCTAGCACTCAGGAGGCTGAGAAAGGAGGATTTCCATGAGTTTGAAACCAGCCTGAGCTGGTTCAAACATAGCAAGAAAGAAATCAACAAAACAAAATAAACCAAGCCACCAACAACCAGAAAATCCCAGAAACATTTTGTCTTAGGTCACACTTCCGAAGTCAAGATGTTAGCGGGGCCGTGCTTTCTCTGAACGCTTGGTACCGGCCATCCTTAGTGTTCCTTGGATGGCAATGGGTTACTCCAAACTCTGTCTCTGTTGCCACATGGGCGTCTTCTGTCTGTGTGTCTGTCTCTGTGTCCGCAATTCTCTTTCTTCTTAAGACACCAGTCATTGTACTAGGGCTCAGCTCCTGAGCACGCTTTAACTTTGTTACATCTGCAAAGAGACTTTTTCAGAATAAGGTCACATTTACAGGTACCTAGTGTTAGTGCATCGACTAATCTTTTGGTGGTGGGGTATAATGGAACTCAACAGTGACCAATCTATTTTCATAAAGGTGGTGGTAGCAAGAGTGAATTCAAAAGTGGTGAGACAGCCTCAAAATCAAAAGTATAAAGAGGGCTAAGGCTGCAGTTCAGTGGGAGAATGCTTGCCTCGAATTCACCGGAGGGGGTGGGGTTAGGGCTGGGTGTGTGACTAAGTGGTAGAGCACTTGCCTTGAATCCCCCAGTGGGGAGCTGGGGCATGGCCCAACAGTAAAACACTTGCCTGCATTCCACCAGTGTGGACATGGCTCAGTGGTAGGGTGCTTGGCTAACATGCATGTAAGAGGACCTGCTTAAATCCCCAGTAAATAAAAACAGAAACCAAAAGTCAGTAGTAACAGGGTAGGAGCCCAGGCTCTCCTTCAGATGGGCTTGCCCTCTGCAGCCAGCGACTGCTGCCTGGTTTCTGCAGACATTTGAATCTGCCACATTCTAAAGGTGGTGAAAGTCCTGGGAAGTCCTGCAGCAAACCAGCCTAATTTCCCTTGGGCAAGCCTGTTACCACTTTTCTCTCACTCCATCTACCATCTTCCGCACAGCACACTTCAGGGGTCACAGGCTGTCTGTGAAGGAGAGCTGTCCAGTCCTTGTGAGGCTGTCCTTATGGACAGTTCACCCTTTTGGGTCCATGTGAGACTTTGCTGAACACTGGGCCAGTCCTGCATTGAACAGCCTGCCTCTGGTTCTGCAGAGACTCAGCAACTGCTCTGCCTCATGATGGCTCTTCTCAGAGCAGCCGCTCCCAGTGCCGTGCCTGCCTCACCCCATGGCAGTAACAGTGCTGGTGTGTACCGGACACCAGGTCAGTAGTGACCTCTGAACTCAAGAACCCTCCACTCAGTCAAGGCAGAGTGGTAGAGGGTCTCAGTGGCCAGAGGACATGCCCCAGGGCACACTGTGAGCAGGACTGGCAGAGGTGGCCTGGGAGCTCAGAGCTCTAACCACATGGCCCACTGTGACTGCTGTCTTTAGCCATCCTTCACGGGGACATGGTTTCCATCCCCTCCCACCAGGGCCACCAGAGACTCCTGCCACAGGCACTTCATCTGCCTGGTGTCACATATAGCCCTGGACTGAGCAGCCACTAGGGTCTTGGGTCACCTCTCCCAGCCCATTGGCTCTGCTCCCATCTTCCTCTCTGTCCAGAGTTGTCCTCTTCCTTTACCTAGACAGCTAGAGTCCCCACATCCAGAGAGTCTGTGTGGACCTTCTTCCTTCGGTTGTGTCTGGATGCTTCTGAGGAACTAGCTATTGAACAGAATAGAGGAAGGAGGAGGGGAGGTGGCCTGATACAGGCCTGGCCAGGCCATCATCACAAGGGCAGCAGACACTCCCTGCATTCACACACCCCTAGGCCCCTGCTCCAGGCTTCTCCTGAGCTCCTAGCAGCAGCCTAACCCTCAGCCGTGTGCTGTTCTTCCATACCCTGATTGCTATATCTCTTTGAATTCCCCCCTGCAAGCCCTTTGCCTTTGCTCCCCTGCACCCCCATAGTCACCCTCAGCTTAGACTTTCCACACAACTCTCTCAACAAGTGTAAAGTCAGTTCAAAGAAAAAATTCTGGGAATTCATCCTAATTTCCCTGTGGCCTCGTTTCCCCAACAGTGGTCCGTGTTGCACCTCATGTGTGCCGGGCACCACACTGGACCCAGGGGCAGCTCTTCCCATCCCAGCTTGCCCATGGCTTCACCCCTCCAGACCTTAGACTTGAGCTGCTCTCCTCATACTGCCTCTCCCTCACCTCCACTTCCCTTGCCTGCTCAGCTCTGTACCTGCTGAGGTACACAAACATCCTCCAGCCTTCTGGGTGCTGGGCCCTTGTAGGGTCTGGGGACTTAGGGATGAGTCACAGGCCTCTTTGCCTCCCCAGGGGACTCCCTGACTTATAGTGAAACAGGAATATCAATGAGCAACTCAATGTGTTTTACTTGAAAACTCTTCAAGTCTAGTCAAAAGCATTCCTAAGGCTAGGGGTGTGGCTCAGTAGTAGAGACTCTCCTGAAATCCCCCAGTGAGGGGCTAGGGGTGTGGCTCAGTGACAGAGCATTTGCCTAGCATCCACCAATGAGGGACTGGGGGTGTGGCTCAGTGGTAGAGCCCCTGCCTAGACTCCCCCAGTGAGGGGCGGGGGTGTGGCTCAGTAGTAGAGACTCTCCTGAAATCCCCCAGTGAGGGGCGGGGGTGTGGCTCAGTAGTAGAGACTCTCCTGAAATCCCCCAGTGAGGGGCGGGGGTGTGGCTCAGTAGTAGAGACTCTCCTGAAATCCCCCAGTGAGGGGCGGGGGTGTGGCTCAGTAGTAGAGACTCTCCTGAAATCCCCCAGTGAGGGGCGGGGGTGTGGCTCAGTAGTAGAGACTCTCCTGAAATCCCCCAGTGAGGGGCGGGGGTGTGGCTCAGTAGTAGAGACTCTCCTGAAATCCCCCAGTGAGGGGCGGGGGTGTGGCTCAGTAGTAGAGACTCTCCTGAAATCCCCCAGTGAGGGGCTGGGGTGTGGCTCAGTGGTAGAGCACCTGCCTAGAATCCCCCAGTGAGGGGCTGGGGTGTGGCTCGGTGGTAGAGCACTTGCCTGGTATGCATTAGGCCCTGGGTTCCAACCCCAGAACCATAGAACAAAACAAACCAAAGAATCACTCATAACCCCCATCACTTTAAAATGACATTATAATATAAAATAAAAAGGGAAAGCCCCCTGCTAGTTAAATTGTTTGGCAGGATGCTTCCCCACAATTTCTAAGCTGTACAAATGAAAGAAAGATTATATACAGTTGGATAATTGGCCTGTCCAATGCTTCGTATGATGCGGTCTACTGAGGGAGCCACAATGGATGTTTATTGAATCAATGAGGGCTGTTTTGTTGCAGTTTTTCAATCAAGGCAAGGCAAGACATCTCTTCAGGGGAGTATTACAGAATGCCTGGGGTAGGGGTTGGCATTGATTGAAATCTTAACATTAAATGTGAAAATATCATTTTGTATTTGGAGAGTGGAAAAAGAATCCCTATTTTCCTAATAGGACCACAGAAAACACTTAACAAAATCTACCAGGCTGAGAAGGCCCTAATGAATGATGGTTCCCTACCGGATGTGGTGGAAATTAGGGACAAGG